GTTTTTGTCTTTCCGGACCATCCAGACACACTTTTCCCAGTTCCTCTCCCTCCGAAGTCCTGCATTTATATGTGAGGCACGGATTTTTGGGTCACAAGGGGTATCAAAAGAGTGTAGACAGAGAATAGAAGAGGATCGCCTTCTTGCGTTTTTCTTTCTACATTTTCTTTAGTATCTCCGTCCGCCCTTCGGCTACTTTGCATATCCGGAGAGTTTTTATTTATTTTATATTTTTTTTGCTTCACTCGTGTAATCATATTCTGCGGCATAAACAGTCCGAGAGCGATTACAACAATTGACCATAAAATGTGAAAGAAAACAAACAAACAAAAAATGAAGTGGGAAAAAAATGTTGGAGGAGAGTGGATGAATCGACGGGCACTTCGAGCGGTAATACTTTAAGTGCAATGAAATTATGCAAAACTGCATGAAAGGCCATTCCGGGTTTGCTCTCTTCCTTCGGCGCCGTCGATCGATCCAAAAATCATCCGCCGAATTGAATTCCTGAAATATCCGCAAACCGTAAAAATCATTATTTCAACTCGCTGAGCATCAAATATACACACATATTTACATTTGCTTTTCGTGGGCCGCCGCGCGCGCGAATGTGTCAGAGAAACAGCGAGAACAAAATATTTACTATTCCAAAAGGAAATCCTGAAGCCTTTTGCCTCTCGATTCGTTTGGCGGCTTATAATAGTCCATTACCGTGAGGTTGAAAGAAAGAAAGGCGACTTGTTTGTGGCCGACCATTACTGCTCCCAGCAAATAGCATCCCTTTCTAAAGATTCGGGGTGTGTGGGTGCGAACAATACTTCCATTTCATTCCATTCCATTCCATTACATGCGAGGGTACGACAGTATCGCATTCCGTCGCCGGACCATATCATTTTACCCAATAACAAGTTTTAAATAATAAAAGCCCTCCTCGGAACTAACCCCATTTTAATAACGCTCCGTCCGATGCGGCCTCTTTAATTTAAGTTACCAGCGACAGCGTCTTTAATATTTAAAAGTATATGAAAGTTGGGATTATGTCTGAGAACTCCCTTAATGATAAGACAGAAAAGTTATTATATTATACGCATAAAGGAAACGTATAACGTCTTACCAATTTATGTGCTAATTCGTTCTCTTTTCATAGATTCTTGTGCTTATTATTGTTTTTTTTTTTTCAAAAGCATTACTATTTATTTATGGGATTGCTATAAGAAGACTGTGGATTTCGAGGCGACCGACTGCGGCATTTCATAGAAAGTTACTAATCTCTTTACTATGCAACTAATTGCACACATACCATTTTATCAGAGAATTAGCATTTCGAGCACATTTGCCTTCCAAATGTCAACACATTAAAGCCCTTCCCGACAGACACTGAATTACACTCTGTAATTGATTTAATAACAACAATCGATATTTATTACCATTTTATGTAAATTTCCATTGATTCTATCTTGCTGACCCAACAAGGGTTTATTAACCAAAATACTAACAAACAATCATAAATAAATTTAATTTACTACAAATCTGGATTAACCCAATTTTTTGACATTAAGATATTTCTAAATGACTTAAAAAATAGTAAAAAGTGAAATTATTCTGAAAATTAATTATTTTCAATAATTTCAAATAAAACTCATGTAATGCCATCTAACGTGAGAAACTGTATGAAGTTCAAACACCACAAGCAATCAATAAATTTACTACTGTAGATCTCAGAAATCTCTTGAAATAAAGTTACAGGAAAACTAGTTATGCTTTCAGAAATGAGATGGAAATTTTCCATTTATTTCCAATATAACACGTAAAAAATTAAATAATAAGTGTTATATTTTAAATTCCATAGTTATTCTTATCCATTGAACAGTGGCAATGATGTTTTGTAATCTTTAACAGACGAACATAGCAACATATCCAACAGTAAGCTTATTGGAAAGATTGTGGTTTCATGTTTAATTTTCTTGTTTAATAATCTGATTAGCTGTATGTATTTGTCGAGTAATTAAATAAATGTTGATGATTGCTTATAACATTGCTATTGCATTCTTATTAATTACTATTATTATGAAATATTCATTTCGTTACTAATATACTATTCATATAACTAATTTTATAACTACGAATGAATTTAAGCTATAGATAATTGATTTCCAATTAGTTATAAAAATGCTTCAGTTTTTCGTATATTTTATTTATTACAATCTAGAATGAAATGTTTTGAATTAAACTTAAAAAGTTATGTAATTTTCTTGTAATTAAGAAAAAATATGAAAACTCGTCGGATCTCAACCAGACAGCGATTTTTAAGAAAATTCACTTTTCTACAGCTTATTCAATTTCTTATCTTATATGAATTTCAATTATCAAAGTTATAAAATCTTAAGATTTAAAGACGCTATTATAAAGTCAAGAACTTTCCTATAACACTGTTGTATGCATCTAAAATGTTTTATAAATCTTATATTTTTGGATATTTTTACCTGAAATTTTGCAGAGACACTACCAAAGCCTTCTTATATAGATTCAAATTATTAAACTTATTTAATACATAATATTTATGCCGCATGAATGAATTGAAAGAGAAGTTGTTTTCAGTAGATTTAAAACTTATTATCCATGCTTATTACCTACTACTCTTAACAAATATTCTTTTGGTCATTACTTTACTATACACATTACTAATTTTATAGCTTATAATTAATTTGAGCCATAGATAATTGATTTCCAATTAGATGTGAAAATGCTTCACTTTTTCGTTAATATTTTTGTTATTACAATTTATAATTAATTATTTTGAATTAAACTTATGTTATTTTATTGTTATATAACTATTTCATAACATATTTATATATTTTAAGCTGTTTTAGAGATTTTTAAAATATTCGTGTATATGTGGCTGCATATATAACATGTGGTCATTAGAACTTTCTTATTTGAAACTATTTTTTTACTAAACTTTGTAAGCGCAGTTCTATAGAGCTCTTATGCAAATTTCAGTCATCAAAGTTATAAAATCTTAAGATTTAAAGACGCTATTATAAAGACTAGAACTTCCCTATAACAATGTTGTATGCATCTAAAATGTTTTATAAATCTTCTATTTTTGGTTATTTTTATCTGAAATTTTTCAGAGACCCTACCGAAGATTTATTATATAGATTCAAATTGTTAAACTTATGTAATACGTAACATTTATGCAGCATGAATGAATTTAAAGAGAAGTTGCTTTCACTAGCTTTAAAACCTATTATCCATGATTATTACCTACTATTATTAACAAATATTCATTTGGTCACTACTTTACTATACACATTACTAATTTTATAGCTTATAATTAATTTGAGCCACAGAAAATTAATTTCCAATTAGATTTGAAAATGCTTCAGTTTTTCGTTAATATTTTTTTTATTACAATTTAGAATTATATTTTTTGAATTAAACTTATATTATTTTAATGTTATATAACTATTTCGTAACATATTTATATATTTTAAGCGGTTTTAGAGATTTTTAAAATATTCGTGTATATGTGGCTGCATACATAACATGTGGTCATTAGAACTTTCTTATTTGAAGCTATTTTTTTACTAAACTTCGTAAGGGCAGTTCTATAGAGCTCTTATGCAAATTTCAGTCATCAAAGTTATAAAATCTTAAGATTTTAAGACGCTATTATAAAGACTAGAACTTTCCTATAACAATGTTGTATGCATCTAAAATGTTTTATAAATCTTCTATTTTTGGTTATTTTTATCTGAAATTTTTCAGAGACCCTACCGAAGATTTATTATATAGATTCAAATTGTTAAACTTATGTAATACGTAACATTTATGCAGCATGAATGAATTTAAAGAGAAGTTGCTTTCACTAGCTTTAAAACCTATTATCCATGATTATTACCTACTATTATTAACAAATATTCATTTGGTCACTACTTTACTATACACATTACTAATTTTATAGCTTATAATCAATTTGAGCCAAAGATAATTAATTTCCAATTAGATGTGAAAATGCTTCAGTTTTTCGCTAATATTTTTTTTATTATAATTTAAAATTAATTTTTTTTAATTAAATTTATGTTATATTAATGTTATATAACTATTTCGTAACATATTTATATATTTTAAGCGGTTTTAGAGATTTTTTAAAATATTCGTGTATATGTGGCTGCATACATAACATGTGGTCATTAGAACTTTCTTAATTGAAGCTATTTTTTTACTAAACTTCGTAAGGGCAGTTCTATAGAGCTCTTATGCAAATTTCAGTCATCAAAGTTATAAAATTTTAAGATTTAGAGACGCTATTATAAAGATTAGAACTTTCCTATAACACTGTTGTATGCATCTAAAATGTTTTATAAATCTTCTATTTTTGGTTAATTTTACCTGAAATTTTGCAGAGACACTACTAAAGCCTTCTTATATAGATTCAAATTGCTAAACTTATTTAATACATAACATTTATGCAGCATGAATGAATTTAAAGAGAAGTTGCTTTCACTAGCTTTAAAACCTATTATCCATGCTTATTACCTACTATTATTAACATATATTCATTTGGTCACTACTTTACTATACATATTACTAATTGCAAAGCTTATAGTTAATTTGAACCACAGATAATTAATTTCCAATTAGATGTGCAAATATTTCAGTTTTTCGTTAATATTTTTTTTATTATAATTTCGAATTAAATTTTTTGAATTAAACTGATGTTATTTTAATGTTATATAACTATTTCGTAACATATTTATATATTTTAAGCGGTTTTAGAGATTTTTAAAATATTCATGTATATGTGGCTGCATACATAACATGTGGTCATTAGAACTTTCTTATTTGAAGCTATTTTTTTACGAAACTTCGTATGGACAATACTATAGAGTTCTTATACGTATTTCAGTCATCAAAGTTATAAAAATCTTAAGATTTAAAGGAGTTATTTTAAAGTATAGGTGCTGTTGCCTAAACTGACAGTATCAATTTGACAGTTCTCAAAGTTAGTTGTGTTTGTGTGCTCCGGCTTATTATCAGCTAAAATCAGTTATGGATATGATACCAAAGAATTCTGGAGCTGATACAGATATTGTACTTTATGTACTAGAAGGATTCAATGGAATTCCGTCGGCGGACCCATTATCTTCACAATTAATTGTAAGTATTATATCTTCCCTTTCTACAAGCACATTGCAGCCCTGATACTACTCACATTTGTTATGTAATTGCAGTATTTAATCAAAATCCATGCTATAAAGCGGATACAAATAAAAACATCCAAATTTTATGTCAACGCAAACCTTCCCCGCTTGGAGTGTAATCATTCGGTTATAACACACCCTGTGCTTATTCGGAACTACATCGAGAATATTATCAGAATAGAATGTTGTAAGGAAGAATCATATTGCAAGCATATGAATGATAAGTACCCGAAGGAACATGGTCGCATCATAGCTTATCAAAATGTAATCACAAATTTCCTTGAGAAGATTGCTTTGGTCAATGGGTATATAATATTCAATGAACGATTGTTCAACTATTAAAGTTACAATTTTCTAGCTGGGGTTCGAATGACAACATATTAGAATCGACCAAGTTATACTCTAAGGGAATTTTCTTCCCGTTTAAATTTGTATTTGTTAGACATCTTAGAAATATAATGGACAATAAGATGTTTGACCTATATAATTACCAATGGAAGTTTGAAGTCATTGATAAGGTATTTAAAATTGGAGATAATTAAATTTATGTTGATACTAATAAAAAAATATATTCTTTTATAGATTTACGAAGATGCAGCTGTTTACTTAAATGATTTTTCAAATACTCTGGGTGATAAACCTTTTATGTTCGGAAAATATCCTACAACACTTGATGTATACTTATGCAGCTACCTCGCACCTGCGTTGTTATACAAGTATCCTGATAACAGAATGGAGCAGCTCATATACAGTTGCGACACAAACTTAGAAGTTTATATAAAAAAATTCGTTGACTTATATGGAGATTTGAATGAAGGTTGTAATTCAACTATTTTATATAAAATGCAAATTTATTTTGTTTTTACGTCGTAGGATTTCCGAAGAAGATTGAGCCGATTACCGATAGAGCTTCCATACCGGTTATGATTGCAGCTGGATTCTTTACTGTTTCGGCTATGATGATTTTCGCCAAGCTTCATGGAATTTTCAAGTTTTGATAATTCCTTTTGTTGTTCTGTTCCTAGCATTTATTTGTTCTTGTTCTGTGATTTTGTTTCTTTTGTGCCACAGAGCATTCCGTTCTATTTTCTACTGAAAGTGTTTTGATGATATTTACATGTTTTTTATATGATTAATAAATAGTTACTGTTCGTTAGTTACTTGCGTTTTTATTATTGTATTATTTTTATTTTATTTCATTGATAAATTCATCGATTTTAAGTGATGTTAAGGAACGGTTTATATGGTCTTTGGAAATAAAACTTCTTCAATTCTTATTATTATTATTATTGGTTTTATCATGGTAATATAATATATTTATTTACGATATGTACACTAAATTGAAAACATCACATATTGGGATTACTATATAATAATAGACACTTACGTCGTCAGGATAAAGTAATGGCTGATTCACAAAGCGAAACGTGCTCGAATATTTATGGAAAAGCAATAGTAGACATTGAATTATACTGTAGTGACAGATAAAAGCCCAATCATTTTGCTATTTTGGTTAGCGCTAACTTTATTCCCGTGCACTAAGACTTCTTGAACAGTTGAGAAGTTCTCATACACATCCGATTTCTGTGACTTCTTGGTGCTCTTGTGTTTCTTGACGGTGTTATCCAAATTGTTGGCCGCTTTTTTGTTCATCATAGAGCCGTGACTCTTGTCCAGAGTCTTATGGAATATAAAGTCGCCATTCTCGTCTATATTCTTGGCAGCCATTAAAATTTCCTGCCGCTGTTTTCGCTCCTTCGATTTCTCCAAATGCTTCTTGCGCTCTTCTTTGGTCCAGTACCGGCCAATCTGTAAATATTCTGTTAAATATATTTACATTTTATTATTAATATCAGAAATACCTTTAACTCCGATATTGTATCGTCCTCAGTTGTTAAACCGGCCCTCTCCTCGGAAATGCGAATCTCGCGGTTCCTCAGAATCCTATTACGCACGGGACGCCTGGCGATGTATCTGGAGCCATCAGGCCTTCTCTTGACTTTCCATTCCATAGCCGTGTCCATTGTGGTAGACTCGGTGCGGGTGTTGGTATAATTCTGGAAATAATAAGCGCATGAAACCTATGTAAATCCGGACGGGGTATATTTAATCAAACCTGTTGACTACTAATGAATTGATATTGACTTAAACTTGGCGCGGTGAAGCTTGTGGTGGGTCTGTTGGTTTCATGATTGGATTGTCCGAGCGATTGTCGGAATAATTGCTGCTGCAGGAGGATCGTTTGCCGTAAATTTGCGGCGTTCGTGTACATCGTATCTGAGAGCATCGGAACGTTTAGACCCGGTCTAACAGTCGGCGACGACGGACTATTGACTTTGGAACTTGAGGCTTTGGTTTTGGATCTCGCTGGCGTTTTGGTATGTTTCAGTGTTTCGCAACTTTCAGTAGTTTCGCCCGGAGGGCAGAGGATTAACGTGGATCGATTATGCTTGGACTCCAGACTGCAAGCAAGCTCGAATGTTAAGGGGTTGCTGTTACAAGAACCTCCGGTGTTGTAAGCGCTTGAGCTATTCTCGTGCTCTTCTCCGCTGCTGTTGCTTTTGGATGACTTGCTTCGAGACTTCTCTTTAGCTTTTGTTTCTTTGGTAACGACAATCTCTTTCGGCTGGCCATTCCAATCGGTATCTTGGGCTTTCAACCACTGTTCCACCATATTCTCATCGTTTGCCTCGTAGGGACAAGAGTAGATCGGTTCCAATTCAGAGTCCACTGATTCTGGAATAGTTTCGTAAATATGCTCTGTATCGGATTCCACTGGTGCAGGGATGTGTGGCAACTGAGGAGGCTTCCTTTTGTCGCTCTTCACCAACTGGATGTTCTGCATACGGTGATCTAGCTCGGACATCTCGTGGGCTATTGAATCGATCTTGGAACGAACCAGTGAATTTGTCAGATTCAACGTGTCATGCATGAAATGCGGAGGAACGTGAGGCGGTGGAACGTCTACTTTTCCGGAATGGTGTGATTCTGTTTGCTGTTGAACTAATTGCTCTATTATGCTGTTCTGATACGCAGCACTCTTGCAATTCGGAGATGCATCCCCTTGAGCTTCAGCATCCAAATAATCTTCGCTCTGAAAGAAACAAAACAACATTTATTTAATATATTATACTACACTTTATTACATATTCCTCCTAATTAAAGAACATCAATTACTATATTTTATTTATCAATGTTGTACTTAAGAAATTGCATAGTATAATAAATAGTTCTAAATTATTTATTCCACTAGCTTTTCTAATATAAGGTAATAATTAGTGTTTTGAATGAGGTGTAGATAGGTAACCGGAAAATTACAAAATAAAATAAACTTGTTTTGTTAGCAAAAGAGAACTGCAGGCAGTACTTGTATAGCATGGCAATGAACAATCGGTTATTACGTAAAAAAGTGAAAATAAAGTTTGATGCTCACTTTGTTGTAGCAACGGCTGACAAGAAGGGTAACAGCTTTCTTGTTCTCGGCAAAAAGCGACTCGGTTTCCTCTCTGTTGGCGACGTCTTTGCCGTTTACCTAAACGACAAAAGTAATGACGGATCGTTAAGGAGGGACTTGTAAAGTAAAAGTTTCGGATGAAGTCGTACTTGCAAGATTTGATCTCCTTGCCTCAGCCGTCCGTCGCGGTCAGCAACACTCTGGGGTGCAATATCGCGGATGTAGACCTCGGTGCAGGTGTCTGCCTCAGAGCCGGAGCTGTAGCAAACCGTGAGGCCCAATTTCTCATCGCTACTACACTTCCGCAATGTGACTTCCTGCGCGTCGTTGTAAAAAAAAAAGAAGAAAAGAAAAACATCTTAAGTTCAAATGCTCTTATTAAAACTTTCCATGCAGATGGGAGAAAGTTTTTTTTTCCGAAACAAAAAAAAAAAGCAAATAATAGAAGGTTGGTTCGGGGGAGTTGGAAATAGTCAATTTTTCCAATCGCAATGCAGCGAATTTCGCGAGAGTACAAGAGATCACATTGAAATGCAGCATTAGCGCGAATGCAGAAGGTAATATCAATCTGCAGCCAATGCAAGGACTATTTGATTTCCCTGGGGCTTCACACTCGTGTCCATACCGTGTTGACATTCATGACGTCGAGATGCTGTACAGAGATTGCATTTCGGACTCCGATATGAACGGAACCGGAATTAATGCCGATATTGTAATGAACCATTACAGACGTTGATACAGAGACGCCACCTAATAATCTACACATCTGACGGGTGCGAAATTGCTTCAGCCAAATGCGAGGTAGATAGAGGTGAAGACCGAATCAATAGCGACCATTAGAGCGTATTACACTTTATGGAGATTCGTGCGTTTTATTTGCACTTCTTGTATCACACGCAGACAGTCGACGCCGCGATGGTAGAAACGAAGAAGTAGGAGGAGGAGGAAGCCACCGAACCATGAATGAGTACGTAGGATTTTATTTGCTGCCTCTTTGCGCTGCGAACTCGTTATACAAACTCAAGTGGTTTCGTAAAGAAACAATTTCTTTCTTTCTTTGCGTTTCATTAATCCGCCACGCCGCTCCGTTATTAGTTTCAATTCTGGCACCTACCTCAAAATCGATTTCCTGTGAGAAGCATTCGAGAGTGTTGTCATCAATCCAGGTGAAGTCTGGGAACTCTGTCTGCACCCCCGTGGAGACGACTCCCATCGAGGCGGCAGCTGCTGCCTGGCATTCATCTGCGGGTGTTGCAACATTCGCGGCCACTTGGAATTCTTCCGGCGTTCGCCTTTTAACCTCGACGACGATGGGCTCTTGAGCGGTGAGAAAAGTCCGCACCGCGTCTTCATGAGGGAAACTGCTCACATCAGTTCCGTTAACCTGAAAGGAAAATCAGAAAACTTTTAACAAAAAAACATTTGTACAACTTCCATCCATCCACTTGCACCGTCAGTTATTTCACAGAAGCCAGATGAATACACTCATAGAAATGCGCTTCCTCTTTTTCTTTTCTTTTTTTCTTTTTAGTAATTTCGTGCACTGTGACCAATAAAGCTGCACTCGCGTCGGGGCATACTTAAAAGTTAGCTCATATCGACGGTATTGGATCAGGGTCATTTCGGTGGATGCTATATTATCGACCAATGCCATAGGCCATGTCACGCCGCTATCAGTTCCATAATATAAATGAGTTGAGATCTCATCGGCGAGAGTATTCAAGCGCAAACCCAGATCTCTTCTGGTCGCCCCTAAGGAATACACTTTCCAACAACCAAATAACATTATGTTCCTCCAACATACTCGCATTCGGTAGGGCACGAAAAATGCTTCCGTGAATTTCTACCAAACTCAATAAAACACCTCTCAAACTTCAATCAATTACAATTACATCACAACCTACAACATACAAATATTTTGTTTTACTAAAAGAAAAACACTCCTTTCCATTACCTCATTAATTATGAAAATCAAGTATTATATAAAATAATAACTTCGTGGTTTGCATAAGGTTTCTTGAATACTTAATTCTTAAATATTGTAAATTCCAGTCGGAGTCTGGTTTTCCAAAATAAAAACTTGTTCTTGGTACGACTTGGTTTAACAAATAAAAAACATAATATAGTTTTTGAATTACCAAATATGATAATTTAGTTAGTCGATAAAATAAAATGAAGAGGTTGTAAGACTACGGTCATTGGCCTTTTTGCATAATAATATTGCAAATAAAAAAAAAATATTGTTCTCTCTCGCGCTGAAATCAAGTTGAAGAGTGAAGTGCAACTGAGTAGGACATCAAGGGCATATGTTTGTTAATGGGATTTGCATTAATTGATTTGACGATTAGGCAGACGTGCGAAATTATGGTGTTTGGCTACAATAAACAGGATTTAATAGTTGACTATGTGTGTATGTATATGCGCGTGTTCAGCAAACTGTTTTGGAATGTAGCAGTGCGCGCGAGCAATGCTTGATTTGTCATTCCATCCAGCTTTCCGACACAGTTGAAGGGCTTCACGAGAAGCCCTCCATAATCGTCTATTAGAGACGGGTGCCGTCGCATACACATTTATGTGTATTTAGTTTTAATTGCAGGCATCTCGATCGGCTGGGTATGTAGGGATCGTAATCGGGGAAAATCGGTGCCCATTTAAAAGGCCATGAGCCGTGCAAAAAGGTGGTTGGATGCGGTTTGATGAAGACGAGGGATGAGGTGGGAGTTGTGGGGGGGTTGGGATTCGATTCGAAGGGGGTGAGAGCGGTGCGGGGCGGGAATTGCGCTTGCCAAACTCTTACGCTTCAATTACAACTGGCGTGTCCCTATCTAATGGAGTGCTCGCAATAAGGATGGATGTGGCGAGCACAAAGGACGCCTTGACTGTGGACTAATGGATAATCGCGTACGTCCGCGTCCTCGGCGTATTGTATCCGGATATTGGACCACATGCTCATCGACAAAGGTGTTAACAATCGTTTGATTAATACTGAAATTGCATTTCCGAAAAACTGAACGCCTGTAATCTCCCCCTACCAGACTCCTACCACCGTCGATGCGATACCATTACGGGGGTGGCGACGCCGCTTCCAGCTGGCAGCTATATAAATGAGGAATTTGTCGCTTTTCACGAGGATTGCGGATGACGGGAGAGCTTTGAAAACGATATTACTGAGAATGCATGGAGAAGAAGACATCGAACGCATGCTTAAATAGAAGACGCTCTGGGGTGCAACGAAGCTCTGACTATTCAGGATTGATATTGGAATGTTTTCATTTCACTGCCAGGTATAGATTTGGAGGAATATAAATGAAAAGAACAGCAGCGCAATACAAGGAGACACAACCAAAAAGGAAAGGTGAGAAGAGGAGACGAGGAGCGTTCGCTTTGTTGTGCATAAATCTGGATTGTGCCACCGTCGCTTGCTTGCTTACTGTATGTCGCCTTAACTCCAGTTCTAGATCTGTAACTATAGTTCTGGTTCTCCTCTCGTCTATGCAACATGCTAAGTGTATGCGTGCATCCATCTCTGCATGTGCGAGAGCGAAAGAGAGATGGAGGGTAAGAAAAGGAGAGGCTTATGTGCAAGGCGCGTATGTGGAGTGCTCCGTCCGCGTCGCTCTTAACACGAGGAAAGTGTTCAATTAGTGTCCTTTAAGTTACGTTTGGCTTCCATTTTCCATATTTTATATAACCATATAGAGCAAAGCATCCTACGGTTTCTGCTCGAATAAAAGCCCCACTATTTTCATCTCGACGCAAATTCTTTTCACGTATACATCATTTTCTCGGCGTTTTACTACAAATTGAATGCATTTAAATGCTGATACACACATATATGCACTCCGTCTGTCTCTCCATCCATCTCTCTCTCCATATACATCCATCTATCTCTCTTTATCTCTCTGTGTTCCTCGCATACACGTGCTTCTCCTCTCCGGCTCTCTCATCCACGACCACCCTCGCTCGCATATGTGCTCTACTCCACTCTTAATAACCTCTGGCTACAGAACAGCAATATCGCTCTTGTGTATACACATTCAGTAGGCTCGCATGCTAGGGGTTGATGCCAGGGGCCGCCGCCACCCCGTAAGGCCGATATAGCGAAAAACATTAATTCACTCCGACATTCATTAATAAAATGTGTTTCCATACTTAACAATTTGTGACACTTAGAAAATTGTGTACATTGTAAGATAAAGCTTTTAGGAATCAATGACAGGTTTTATATCCAATAGCATGAATGTGCTGAAAACTGTAGGAAATAAAATGAGCTCGCTTGTAAAATTGTGGCAATCCGCGCTTTCGCGTTATAGCCAGTGACCGAATGTGTTAAACTAGAAATGGATGAATGAAAGCTGAATATACATGCGGAAAATTGGAATTCTCATGGTCCAGCAATGACTTGTATATTGCTAACCGAAAATGTTTAAACCATTCAATTAAATTTACTTCATGCCTCATATTATTCATTTCATTTTAGAGTTTAATTTTATTTATTTTTTTTTTTTTTTTTTAAGTTT